GCCATGGAAAGAGAGCTAGAATCACCAGCCAGCCCCACATAGACTTTGCACCAAAAAGCTGAATGCCTTTGGTTCACAGCAGAGGGCACACTGTTCTCAAAAGGGAGAAATACTTATTTTGGCTAAATCTCTGAAACCTGGGGAAGTTCAAGAACTCTAGAGATAACAAGATATTCCAAGAAGGTGGGCCTTTTTTTTTTAAGTCTTTCTTTCCTTTTACATGGCTCCAGGCTTTAAAAAAAAAAAAAAAATAGAAAAAGGGAAGTTGCTTCTCTAGAGCGTAACCTCTCTCTACCCCAAGTTCCCATGTGGCCAGTAGTGGCCAACGAGGACCTCTAAAGGAACTCAAAGAAAGTGAACAAATAAACTCAACCCAGGAGTCAACACAGAATCAGAGACATGCAAAGACATTCAAGAGTCAACAACCTGCCTGACACTAATTCCCTATTTAAAGCAAGAACACATCAGTCAGAGGCAGAGAGGTGGCCAACCATGGAAGCAGACAAAAATCGGAGTCTAAGAAGCCACCCAGCTCCGCCCAAGGGAGTATAAGCCCCACCGCCAATTCACGCCTCCACATGCCATTGCCAAGTGTGATGTTCCCATGCAGGATGGAGGAGTCAGGCTCCCCTCACAGGACACCTCTGGACACTAATTCCACTGGCTAGCTCTCCTCACTGTGATTCCTTGTTTACCTCGCACTCTCCTGCTTACCACCAAGCTTGCCTTGAAGTTTGCTATACAGAGGAAATCTGCTCGTCAAAGAGTGCCAGTGGTCTGGCACTTACACGTCTCACAGTAAATCATCAACTTGGCATCTTACTAGAAGCCTGCCAATTGCACCTGTCCCTGGGAGGTAGCCCTGCTCTGCTGGAGCTGCCAGTCTGTCTTTTGAGCCTGTTTTCAGGTAAGGCGACCTGCTGAGGACTGGAGAGGTGGCAGGGGCGGTGGGGGGGGATGACACAGGATCCATGTTTGCTCTCCACCAGGCCCCTCAACTTCACCCTTGGCTCCCAATTCAGCTCAAGGAAAACGAAGCCCCTCCTCTGCACAATTTCCTTACCGTAAATACACCGAGAATCACATCTCATAAGGACAACCTGTCCATGGGGACAAGTCCAAGTTTGTTTATTGACATTTTTGCTTTAAAATTTTTATTTTGAAGCAGTATCAAGTTTACAAAAAAAAATTGCAATTTTAATACAAAGAACCTTCTTTCTTAACCTCCTGAAAGTAACTTAACAACCCAAAGAAGCACCACTCACTGATACCTGTGTGCATTTCCCACAACAATAACATTCTCCTCCATAACCACAACACAACCATTAACATCAGGAAATTAACATATAATACATATTACATTTGCTCTTTGCACCCCATTCAAATTTCACCAAATGTCCCAATAATGTACTTTATAGCAAAAGGATCCAGTTCAGAATCACAGGGTTCTTTTAATTGTTAATGTCTTTTTGGTCTTCATCCTAAAACACCTCCCCCCTCTAAGTCTTTCCTTGATTTTTCTGACCTTGACTTTTTTTTTTAAATTACAGACTGTTTATTTTGTATAAAGTCCATCAAATTGGCTTTGTCTGATGCTTCCTGTGATTATAGAGTCAGATTATGAGTTTTTGGCAGGAAAATCACGGAAAAGTAAAGCTGCATCCTTTTCCTTGCACGTTACCAGGTGGTATAGGATTCTGATTTGTCCCATTGCTGGTGATGTTCATTTCCACACACACACACACACACACACACACACACACACACACACACACACACATAGCTTGTGTGTGTGTGTGTGTGTGTGTGTGTGTGTGTGTGTGCGCGCGCTCAAATCCCCTCATGTCCATGAAGACTGGCTTGCCTACTTCAAAGACAGACCGAACTGGGGGAGGGGACTTGGGCATATCTTGGTTTGTACCCTCTCTGCTCCACCGTTCCTGCCTCCTCCTTGGAGAGAACTGTAGTAATAGTGATAGTAATGACATCTGAGTTATACAGACACATTTCTAGAGATGGGATAAAGTAGAAGAAAAGAAAGAAGAGATGATATGCTTTTGTGAACCCCTTAGGTCTTTCTCACACAAATATTCCAGAGCTAAATAAAGGTTAGTTGCATTAACTTTTTCTTGCCAGAAAGGTCCCATTTCACTCATTCATTCAAGCCACCAACATTTATGGGGAGCTCCTCCCTGTTAAGCACAGAGACAATGTATATCGGACACTGCCCTGCCTCCAGAACACAGCATGGTCTCTTATAGAAAGGTTATAAATAAAAAGCTACAGTGCAGTATCGAGAAGGAGATGCTTGACCCCATCCAGGTTGAGAGGGAAGCAGTCCAGGACAAATGGCTGGCTCAACACAGTCTGCAGGTTCTGCTTGAAAGCAGATGTAAACAGATTCCAGATGAGACTGTGAGCAAAGGTGAACTACAGGAGAAGGGAGGACTGGAGAACAAGGTGGACCGGGGCTGAGGCAAAAAGGACTTGGATGCTCAGCAAGGGTGTGTAAGCCATGGGAAGCCACTAAAGGATTCGAAGCCAACTGGCAAGATCTTACGGACATTTTTGCAACAATGCGAGGAACCCATCTACAGAGGGGAGGAAGCAGGGCACAGAGGGAAGGACGTAGGTTAGTAGACCACTGCAGCCATCTTCAGACCAGAGGCTGAAGACAGTTGTTAATCTAGGTCAGGAACAGTGGGAAGGAAGCAGAAGCCAGATTCTTTAGAAACACAGGATGCAGTATCCATGGGATTTCGCAGGTGTGTGAAAAGTGCAGGAGAGAACAGTATCGGGAGTGTCCAGAGGGCTTCTGGATTAAATGGATAGGAGCGGGGGTGCCTGTAATCAGGATGCAGAATATAACAACAGTAGGTGTTGCTGACTTAGCACTTCCAGACACAAAAAACCAATTTCCCAACCTCCAGTCTGGAACCCCACTGAAGTTATACACAACCTGGTTAGTAGAGTATTTCAAGGACAGAGTCTGCTGCTATGGATGGATACCATGGCATGCTGAGTTTCAGCCCTAGTATTTTAATTAAAGTTCCTAATGTTACCTGCTGCAGTGATTACTGTGGGCATAGCTGAGAGTAGTTTTACAGGGAGAGTGAGAAGGAGAGAGAGATGTTTTAAGACTTGCTCACCCTTGCCTCTCTCACTACCACCTACCACTTAGGTCTCCCTAATCATTTCCAGTAATCCTGGGCTTGAAGCAGCATATTGTTGATTTAATTTCATAGCACATCCCTCATATGTTTATTTTTTTTTAATTTTTTTTTCAACGTTTATTTATTTTTGGGACAGAGAGAGACAGAGCATGAACGGGGGAGGGGCAGAGAGAGAGGGAGACACAGAATCGGAAACAGGCGCCAGGCTCTGAGCCATCAGCCCAGAGCCCAACGCGGGGCTCGAACCCACGGACCGCGAGATCATGACCTGGCTGAAGTCGGACGCTTAACCGACTGCGCCACCCAGGCGCCCCTATTTTTAAGTAAAGTGAATTATAACCAATTTTGTTTTGAGAACTTTATGAGATCCGCAAGAAAAACTTAAAACACCACACAGTATTAAAAGGCTAAGCTTTGGAACTGGACATTTGCATAGTGAAAGATGAAATCCCAGTGTTTGGCTAGATCTAGAAGCAATCACAGTTCTTCTCTCCCAATGCTTTTTTTGTTTCTTATTTAATGTTTTATTTATTTATTTGAAAGAGAGAGAGTGGGCGTGCACAAGCGTCAGAGGGGCAGGAAGAGAGGGAGACACAGACTCCAAAGCAGGCTCCCAGCTCTGAGCTCTCAGAGCAGAGCCCAACTGGGAGATGGAACTCAGGAACTGTGACATCATGACCCGAGCCGAAGTCGAATGCTTAACAAACTCAGCCACCCAGGCACCCCACCTCTCCCAACATTTTGTTTTGTTAATGTAAAAGCAAGCACCTCTGCTACTTCTTCTAAACCACTTCTCTATATATACCCAGTAAGTAAATATTCAGGTCTGAGGTAGGAGATAGGGACTTTCCAAGTCAAATCCATCTGATTCAACCGTTGCATAGATATTCTGCACACTTTAATTTTGCCCTATGGGGAGAAAAAACACAATAGTATCATAGTTATTTTGTAGGTGATCTCAAACTTTTTTCCTTCACCTATTTCTTCCTTTTATTTATCCATATTCTCTCATGCACCGTACTAGGTCACACTTGTCACTGCTCTTCTCATGGTAACATGGCAAAGCTGACCTTGATTCATATAAACCTGGGCTCACCGGGTGCCTCTACATTACACCCACCTGAACACTCTTAAGCCTATTTCTTCCTGAGTACAATTAGAGACGATGATAAGCTCACCTAAGAGGATTTATGTGAAGATTAAGTTGCATTATTCGTGTTACAAGGATTCTCTCCTTGACCAAATTTTAATCAGCCTCCTCTGAGTCCCCTGCTCAATAAAGCCTCTCCATGAGCTTCCACCTCTGACCCTGCAGAATCCAATTTTAACAAGAATCCTGCTAAAATCAGTTTAAGAGAAAATTCCCACCCTCAATATCTGACCAAATTCCTCATCCACCATTACCCCCCAGGTGATAAATGATCACCCTGGTCTGCCTTCAGCAAGAATCCTGTTGTGTCAGTTTCACAAGAATCTCCTGTTCTTGATGTTTCCTCTTAGTAATTTTCTCTCTCTGACCCTCTCCCTGATCCTTGGCTATAAATCTCCACTTTCCTTTGTTGCATTCGGAATTGAGCCCAGTCCTCTTTTTCCCCTATTGCAATAGTTCCTGTAATATCAGTTTTCCTGTTTTAACTAATGTCCAGCTCTGGGTCTTTCTGACACATGTGAAAGCCTCTTATGTTGTTCCTAGTGTGAATCAATTTTCAAAACATTAAAAATATGATCCTTATACAAACACAAAATGAATACCTATTAAAGATGTATTTAATTCAACGAGAAAACCGACAGGATAGAAAAGTTGTTTCAGAGGGTTCTAGGAGAGGAGACATATTTATATATAGTCCCTGAAAGAAACGTTCCAAAATAAGATTGCTGAAGTAGATAGAAAGCTAGGTAATAATGCCTTGCAGGGCAGCAAAGTTATATTTTGGGGGATAATCTTTTCTTGTGGACAAGAATCATTTGCATTGCACCATTTCCTATAGGTATTAATCTACCCTCAAAGACTTGTAAAATACCTTAACCGACAATAAAAAGTAAGTCAAAGAAAAGCAAAGAAAGGCAATACACCTAGAGAATCAGATAATCCTTAGGTGGGGCCAATAAGCTAGCATGATTTTGAAGGAACACACAGCCATCCTTTTGCCTACTGGCCTATTTTCAAGTTTAAAGTATAGTGTATATATTTTTCCTTTATACTAGAATATCATAGGTGTTCAACAAATCTTTGCCAGAAACCAATTATTTTAAGAATGCTATATACAAAACCCTACGGGGCTCAGGCAAAAAAGTAATTAAGAGGAAAATTCATAGCATCAATTGCTTTCACTGAACAAGAAAAGGGGGGAAATAAAAGATGACTGCATCATGTTATGCGGATTATTAACCTAAATCTGATAGCTAAGCCCTAAGAAAGACAGATGAGTACAGACTGAAGATGGGAATTTTCATTGGAAAGAAACTGGCTGGATATATAAAATTGGGCATAGTCTTAAACTCTACTGAATAAGGTAGAATATCCGCAAAATATATAATCAATTGAATTTTAATTTACTTATATATTAAGACAAGAAATAAACTAAGACCCAATAGAAGGTCAAAACACCTTTTTTATGGCCTCTCACAGTATAAACTTTCCTCATTTCTTCTTTAACTTTTCTATCCCTTTGAATAGCAATGCTTAAAATACTTCATGCTCAAAACAGGAAGGGTCAGTTTTCAAAGGCTGAGAAAACTGAAAGAAGGTTCAAGCTCACCTTTGAATCAATATGTCAGGAACACATAGGGGTAAAAGGAATGACTGTAAGAGGCATCTGTAAGCTCCATTCGGTAGCACACACACACTAACAGGGGCATGGACAGCATGTTCATGAAGACACAGCTGGAATGCCTCAGGTCCATTTACCAGTGATCTCCCTTTGAGCAGTGCCTATAACCTCTCTGAGCCTCAATTTTTTCATCAATGTGGCCAATGACACACATTTCACCAGGACTGTAGTGAGCATTAAATGAGCTCACGTTTATACAAACTCTAGCACAGCCCCTGAGGCACAACAGATACTAGTAAATATGTTCTATTTTTTCCTGCCCCCAGGGTCACTTTTTAAAAAGATGTGTAAACACATGAAAAGCAGGAAAGGGTTTTTGAATTCTATTCTCAAGTGCCCTGAAAAGTAGGGAGGTTAATATCTCTTTCATTTTTATTTTCCCTTCCTATCTCTAGTACTTTAAAGTTTCTTTCACATGAAAACTCAATTGTATATTCATTTAAATGTAAGCATTTAATTAATCATCACAAGTCCTTTCTTCTAAAGCTCTTTTCACTGCTTAATACGAGAAACGGGATAAAGAAACTCAGGTAGGAATCAGAAAGGGACTGACTTCACCAACTTTATTTATCTTCCTTCTTTGTTTCCAGTATTTTATTTACGTCCTGTCATATGAAAGGCCAGGGATCAGAAGAGAGCACAGGCTTCTGTGTATAGCTGCTATTGTCACAGTCTCACCTTCTTCCATTAATCCTACTTGGAAAATGGAAAGAAAAGATGACCTGAACTGTGGCACTGTGATACTACTTCTTCCTAGACTTAGTCCCCTGATAGACCTGTTAAACAGGTCTGTGCCCAGAGTATAAGTCCCTCCCCTCACTACTTCCCAGGGCTCCCACCCCCAACCCCACAGGCACAGAAAAGCTTCCTGTTTCTGGCACCTCTCTGGGAAACATCACCCTCAGTTTAAGACTCTGACCTCCTAAAAAGATCATTCCCCACCTTCCTGGCATGTTCCAACCCAGAACTGATTTTCCATTTCAGATGTACTGAATTACTAGAGGAAGCCAGCTTCATTAATGCTAAAGTTCAATGGGACAAGGAGCAGACCCTTCATAGGTACCCTCACCAACCTAACAAGGCAACCGTCTAACACCTGCCCCTGAGGCCCTCCAGTCCAGATACCATGTTCTACCACTTGGCTGGACAAAGACCTTCAGCCTCCAGCTGGGCTTCTGCTCTCCCATCTGGAACCCACCTCAATCCATTGCAGGTTCTGGTTCCTCCTTGATCTGTCTTGCTGGATATCACTAGCCCACCCATGCTCTGCCAGAACATGACTATGAGGGCTGGGATCACGCTCTTTATTCAACTCACTCAACAAACTTCTTGGGGGAAAGGAGAGCGGGAGGAAAATGATTCTCCCCCAAGACTTGGGGGTTGGTGGGGGGGTGGGGGAGGTGTGTGTCAGGCAATTTTTTTGCACGTTAATCTCAATTTTTATGTAGACATTATCAGCCAGTGAGTCCTCACTGGAGGAACCACCAATGTGTTTTTCACCAGGGCCTGAACCCACTCTTAGAAGGCCCTGTGAAGAGTTATGCCATGCCAGCACATCATGCCCTCCACTTTGGCCCCAGTGCCAGCCCATTGCAGGCAAAGAAGGGGATCCCAAGGACTGTGACTATGAGCCACTGTGAAAGTGTATGGGAAAGGAGGAAAGGCTGAAGTTTTTATCATTTTTTTTTTCCAGTAGACAAACATTTACCACCACCCCCACCTTTGGACAACGCATGACTGTGCCATCAGTCATAAGAATAAGCTCAGTGACTACGTTGGGGGAATTTTATAAACCCACAGAAGCCGGAAGCAGTGTTATCAGGAGTACCCTTTGTCCAACATCTTCAGCAGATTTTCACATGTCCTGGAAGGACATATCTCCTCTACAATTCTCAATCCTCAGTTTCCTGCGACATAAAATGGGGATAATACTGTAACCCCCATACTACATGCCAGCATAAGCTCTCTTTTCCCTAGGACTGTTACGAGGAGGAAACATCTTTAAATGCGCAAATTATTTGGCACCAAAAACAAAAGTGTTCCCCAAAATTAGTAAGTCTCAGAAATGCCAATTATTTTGGAAGGGCAGAGCCACTGATTTAGAGGCAAATCTTCAGTCTTCTGGGAAGACTTCATCTCCAGTTCTGCCACCACTTCTTGGCTATTTAATATGGCACAAGTCTGGTATTTCACGGTGTTCCACTGCAAAATGAGAGAACACATCTACTTTGGAGGGAGTTATGCATTATAAATGAGATGACACTTGTCACCATGAAACATCAGATAGCTTGTGCTCAGGTACAACTGAGGCCCTTTGTCTTTCACACAGCAGGATTTCCTTATTTAAATACTGTACCAGTAAGACCAGAAAGACACAAGCTGCCCAAGATCAGGGGGGCATCCCAGGCTGGTATCAGCTGGTACCAGCACCAGCATGCTGTCCATATATCACAGTGTGCTGCATGGACCGTGAAGCCACCGGAGTTATTTCCAAAAAAAGAAAAAGAAAAAAAGAAAAGAAAAAGGAAAAAGAAAGAAAAACAAAAATATGTCAGCTTCACTCACCAGCAGATTGACACATTCCTCCTTAGGGAGCACACACCTAGTTTTGGGTTTTTTTTTTGTATTTTATATTCCATAAAATTTCATAAAATCACTTCAGGGCATAAATGCTGATTACAAAGCACCTTAACTGAAATATATTTTAATGGCCCACATTTTCCAGAACACACACACACACACACACACACACACACACACACACAAACATAACTACATCAAATATAAAATGCCCATCTGAAAGGCCACAAATTTCACATAAATATAGACAGGAGTTAGAAAAGAACAGAAGAGAACACAAATCATCGTTTTTTGCTCAAGGACATTAGATATTTACGTTTGAAAAGACTAAGAAAGATCAAATTTTTAACTTTTCAGAGGTAACACTCAGACTGCTGACCATCTTATCTTCACCTCCAAACCACCTCCTTGTCAAGGAAGAAGTAAGATTTAAACCACTTTCAAAATGGCAAAGTCCTCTTCCTTCAGGACAGAGAACAAAACCAGTTTCCTTTCAGCCGGCGCACAACATGTGCATTTGGTAAAGCTTTTGAGACAAAATTCTAAGGATTTTACAAAGCACTTAGGGAACGAATAGCCTTGTTTCACCTTGGTCCAAAAATCTGACTCTTAGAATTGAAAGAGACATTCACCATCATCCAACCCAGGATGCTTTCACACTGAATTTTGGCTGCAAAAGCCTTATTCAAAGGAAACCCTCCGGGAGCCCTAACCTGTAAGGAAGCTGCAAGTAGGCTTGTCCAGGAAGAAGTGGGAAGGCAGAACCCGGCTCAGTCTACCCCCATCCATTTCCCAGCAGAAAGCACCCTAAGCTCATCTCCAGAAGCTTGGGGCTCATGGAAACACAGTTGGAAAATGAGTGAACACCCCAACCCTCATACAACAGAAGAAGGACACTGAGGCCAAAAAAGCTGACAAGTAGCAACAGTCCATTGGGCAAATGGAGGAGGCCTGGTCAAACATTAGAGGGGCTCAAAACAGCCACTTCCTGGCCTCCAAGCAGCTGGAGTGACTCTATCACCCATTTGAGGCCAATAAGGCATCAGAAGAAATCTGCTAACAGTCGCTTTTCTGATGAAAGAGACAAAGTAAGAAGAGAACTACTGGTGTTTCTTTTTCCTCCTCATTCTTGTTGAGCCTCCTTATTCTTATTCTGTGAGGACATGACGCCTAGTGTTACAACAGCCATCTTCACACTATGAAGTGCAAGCAGAAGACAAAAGGCCAACATGCTGAGTATGGATGAGCAAAAGAGGAGAAAAGAGCTTGAGCTATTTAATGAATCTGAAGCCACTTGCTCCTGACTTTGGTTAAGTAAACAATAAATGTCCTTATAGTAAAAGGCATTATTCATCAAGTCTTCTGCTCTTGTATCCTATCGAATCCACTTCTCCAGTTACTTCAGAATCAGTGCGCTGCACCTTAAGTAGCATTTACATTTCTCCACAAATTACCTCTATGTTCTACTTCCAAACTAAAGTCATGTGGAAAGTTAAAAAGCAAGGAGGAATGGTACAGCCATCTAGGAAGACAGTTTGGTGCTTTCTTAAAAAGCCAAACACTTAGTCTTACCATACAACCCAGCAATTGTGCTGGAGCTATAAAGGCATGAAACGACGTGGATGAGTCTTAAAGGCGTAATTCTAAGTGAAGGAGGCCAGTCTGAAAAGGCTATAGACTATTTGATTTCAACTATGTGACATGCTGGAAAAGACGAAACTATAGGAACAATAAAAAGATCAGATCGGGGCGCCTGGGTGGCTCAGTCGGTTGAGCGTCCGACTTCGGCTCAGGTCACGATCTCACGGTTCATGAGTTCAAGCCCCGCGTCAGGCTCTGGTCTGATGGCTCAGAGCCTGGAGCCTGCTTCTGATTCTGTGTCCCCCTCTCTCTCTGCCCCTCCCCCATTCATGCTCTGTCTCTCTCTGTCTCAAAAATAAACATTAAAAAAAAATTTTTTTTTTAAATGAAAAAAAAAAGATCAGATCAGAGGTCGCCAGAGGTTTGGAGGCTGGGGGGAGCAGGAGTGAGGATGGGAGCAGTAAGGAACAGGAGAAGACAGGAGATTTGGGGGGGGCAGTGAAACGATTCTGTACGAGACTATAATGGTAGATACATGACATTATGCACTTGTCACGACCCATGGAACTGTGCAAACAAAGACTAAATCTTAATGTAAACTATAGATATAATGAACAATAATGCATAAATATTGATTTGTTAATTTTTTTTCAATGTACCACACTAATACAACATGTTGATAACAGGAAAAACTGTACAGAAAAGGGAATGTATATTGGAACGCTCTGTCCTATCTGCTCAACTTTTCTGTAAATCTAAAACTGTTCTAAAAAAAATAACGTCTATTAATAGAAAAAAAAAGAAAAAGAAAAAGGGAGGAGGGGATGGGAGGGAAAAAAATCCCTCATATTGTATGTTTTCTTGTCAAATCAGTACAGAAACTCACTCGATGTAAAGAGGGCATGGAAAGGTTTGAACCAGCACCTTCTGTCCTCTTTTCCACAAACCACCTCCCCCTAATCCTACCAAGAGAGACCCATGACCTGCACCCTAAGCGGGTCCTCTCTTTCATCTTCCAATTACTCCACGTGCTGCAGGACGCTCCTGCACATGCCCAGTGCTCTCCAGCAGGACATGCCAGTATTTCCAGTGGTGCTCATGCTCTCTGCTCATCTCTGCCACTCCCTCCATTTTCCAGGGCATCCCCAGGGTTCCCATGTCATTTTTACCTGCAATAATGACATCTCTGGGGGGAAAGAAAGCATCCTTCAAATGCTTCTCTGCATTAAGGGAGGTAACAATCTAGTAAATAATAAATCCCTCAGGCCCTCCAGGGAACCCCTTTCCACAGGGGTTCTCCTTTACCCAAGTTGAAAGCAATGTTCAAATGCTCCCCAGCTGCAGAGCCCAGAACTCGAACCACTGTTGAGATGTAACTTCTCTGTGGAAATGGAGCAGTTTCTGAATTCAGTAATAAAAAAAAAAAAAAAAATATGGGGCGGGGGGGGGGGGTGGGGAGTCTCACACTCCAGTCCCAAATGTTTCCTGGATATTTTCTTCCATGGTTTGCTCTGGGGGTCTGGAAGGCAGACTTAAAATCTTAGTTCTAAATAGACTGAGGTTGTAGCTGGATAATTGTTACTTGATGACAAAATAAAATCTCTAGTTAAAAAAAAAAAAATCAGTGATTGCTTGGCTCAAATCTCTTTCCCTCTTTTTTTTCCCCCTTTTCTGAATAAAATGCAAGTGGGCACATGATCAGTGTCCTCACTAAAAGTGTGGACTCTATGAAACTGGCTGGAAGAAGGCATTTGCTGAGCAACATTCCCTGGAGAGAAGTCACCATGGCTAGATCAATGAAGTACTGGCAATGGGGACCACCAGCTGGGGACTAAAATACTTGTGTTAGGTAGCATAATGGGTGATAAGATTTTATCTGAATGAAGTATTCCCAGGAGCAGGGCATGGGTGTTTTCAATACATTCAGACCAAACAACAAGAATGAATTATAAATAACAATTCTCCCCCAAAAGGTCAGGCTTTTTCACAACTCCTAGCCTTTGCCCATACTATTCCCTCTGCCTGGAACACTCAGCTCCAGCCTCAGCCCCACCCCTTGTCTCATCTGTATCGCATTCACATTCATTATTCAGGGTACAGAGAGAAACCTGTAACTTTAGCAAAGTGATTATCCCAAAGTTCCTCCCCTCTGCCCAGTATCACATGGTATCTATCACCTTTCACAGTGCCTGTTTGTGCATCTTTATCTCCACTTGACAAAAAGCTCCCAAGATAAGGCCTCCCCCTTATCTGTCTTTCTAGCTCTTGGACCTGGGACAGCACACTGCCCACAGTAGGTCATCAACAGATGCCTACTCAAAACAAGAGTCACAGAAGAAATAAACACACAAATGGACTTTATGGCATCCTCCATGTGGTAGCTTTAAAAAGTGTTATTACCAGAGTCTCTTTCAGCAAGAAATATTTTTCAGTTTGACAAAATATTAACATGCATTTATGTGCATCATTTAGCATAAAAATAAGCCCACAAAGTTTAACTCTAGGGAAAGCTTGATTATCTGCAGTTATTCTTCCAAATCACAAAGTAAAACAAATACATTTCCATGCTGCTTTGACTGACACAAATATCTGTGATGCAATGAATTACACATAATCACAATTGCATTCCTTGTAGGCAATACATTCCTTCGTTTTGCATCTTACGCAACCACAGAGCAATTAAACTTGCATGTGCGTGGGGCACTGAAATCATTTTTGGCATACTTACCAGGACTCAGGATGCTGGGCTCGTTAATGGGAATGAGGTTGTCTGGAAGATAAGCTTACTAGTGTCGTGGCAGTTACAGCACAGACTGGCTGGACCTCTTCCAGTTTCCAGAGGCCGTCAGAGGAAACTGCGTGTCCTTGGGGGACTGTGCTCTATCCCAGAGGGTCAACTCTGCTGGTCCTAGCAACTGGACTCTGGGAGGGTAGCTCAAGAGGACTGCCTTGAGGAGCATGGGTCAAAATTCACTGGGAAACCAATCATTAATAAGCAAAATGTTGACACTTCCTTCCCTTATCAGGAATTCCTAGGTCTACTGTGGGTAAAGACAGAACCAGGAAATTAAGCTCAAGCTGCAGGAGATGAGAAAAACCCAGCTTTAAGGGTATTTTAAAGCTGCTCCTAGGACTTTGACTTTAGCTCATTACATCTCGGGGTTCATTCCATCATTCATGCAAACTCTTGAGTGCCCTTCCTGAACTAGGCCCTATGGCCAAACACAATCAGTTCAGTAAACAGCCATCTTCTTGGGATGGCTGGTAAATCTGTACTATCAAAATTCTTCTTTTTTTCTCTACTTATACATTTCCCACCTTCGCTGCAAATGTGAAAGACTTCCACTTAATTTGAAGCAGAATTCAATACAACAAGACCATGAGGAACATAAAGCAGTGAGAAAGAAAAATATTCCTGGTAAATAAAAATAACATGAAAGAAGTAAAACCACATTCTTTGGTTTTGTTTTGTTTTGTTTTTTTTCATCTTAAAATGCACTTGACTAGAAGATCCCAAAGGTCCGTCCAGTTAAAACTTGGTGACTCACTAGGAATCAGGAAAATGTAAATTAGTAGAACAATAAGATACCATGGAAGATATTCAGGGCAAAGAACAAAGAATTCTGAAATATCAAGTGTCAGTAAGAATATGGAGTAAACAGGATGACATACACTGCTGATTGGGAGTTTAAGTTAATAAAGCCTGTCTGGAAAACAATTTGGTAATTTATAGTAAAGCTGAATACATTCAACGGGGCTTTTCTTCAGTGCCTCTGATAATCACATACATGCTCAGGGGTGACATGGACAAAAACATTCACCGAAGAATAATTTTTTATGGCAAAACTGGAAACAACTTAAACAATTTACATGCCCATCAACAGATAAATAAAATGTCATACAGGTACAGTCTACAGGTGACCCAATATATATTGCTTAAGGGGATACACTACAATTACGTTCATGGCTGAAATACAATGACATAATAACAAATGGACAAAACAAGATACAGAACAAAACATAAATTCCACGTGATTTATGTAAATTAGAAAATAATACTATATATTTTTCAAATATATGTATGTGTGAAAATATTTGTATAAAATCGGTGGTTCTCAACTAGGGATGACTCCTCCTTTGCTTCTTCCTTGGGGACATGTGGCAATGTCTGGAGACGTTTTTCTTGCTTGCTTGCTTTTTTTTTTTTTAAGAGACAGAAAGAGAGAGGAGAGAGAGAGTGAGTGAGTGGGGGAGAAGGGCAGATCTCACTAACTGTGAGATCATGACCTCAGCCAAAACCAAATGCCGGTTGCTTAACTGACTGAGCCACTAAGATGCCCCAATTTAAGTCGTGTTTTAAATGGACTAAGGTACATCTTTACTTTGAGGAACTTATTATGAAACTTTTGTGTAGTTTTTTTATCATATAATAATCCCAGCCTAACAGATCTGCTGCATTAAGGGTTAATGACTATACTTCACAATCTGTAGCAAAGACACACATACATTGAAGTCAAACCTGTCCCAAACTCCTGAACTGTTCTCATTTTACTCAAGTTCACTAAAGTGCCTCTTTTTCTGTTAGCCGTTCAAAACTTTGCAACACGGCTGGCAAAACTTCTTTGTATCTGAATTCCTAAGAAGAAAATGTTCCTGTTTCAAAAGGTACATGAAGATGCTCATTCTAACTAACCTGAGACTGGACCCATAAAGGAACATCAATCGAACAATAGCCCTCAAATTATACTGACCCAGAGACAAAATTAGATCAATAAC